GATTAACATTAATGGAGCCATCTGCTGTTCCAATACTTGCCGAACAACAACAGTAAGAATAATTGCTTATGAGAATAGTTCAGGACGTTGAAAGCACACTCGTGTATGAGTGTAATTAACTTTCTGGTTTTGCTCAGCACTACGAAAACTAAGCTCATGTATGTTTACATTTTGACAAGCTTTTAAGCAGCCAGAAATATATTTATTCATCAACCACTACCAATGTGTTTTTGACACGATCATTGATATGGGAATTCTATGAGCTGTTTCCACAACACTATAGCCTTTTAATTCCTGCCAAACCCTGATGAAAATGCGGCACATTATCTTCTCTGCTTTTAAAAAAAGAACCTTCTGCACCATAGGAGTCCGAAGAGATTTGACCGCGCAACTGGCAGACTAAACACAGTTTCTCTGAGCTAAAATTCTTACTCTAGGCACAGAATGCATCCTGAGAGCATTTCAACCCTACAAATTTTAACAGATCCGGATTGTACTCGCAGGGTCACTGACATGTTTATGCCTTCTGGTTTGTAATTCTGGTTTGGGTGGCAAGTGCAAATCATAGTTTGCCTATACGGATGTAACAACAAACCATGGCTTGCCACAAATGAGGAAATCACTGATGTAGTGGCATGCACTAAGGGGAGGAGGGAGAGTGATATATGTGAATAGATTCACAGAGCTGGAAGGTAATTTCACTTACTCACCTACCACATTCATATCCTACTCTTCCTGACCATTCAAGGCACTCCACATTTTATCCTCATCATGATGCTGTGAGGCAGGTTCATCTGAGAGTTCGCTACTCATTCAACCCAGGTGAGCTTTAAGCCCGAGCAAAGATTTCAGCCTGGGTTTCCTATCCAAAGTCAATACTCTACCCACTGCAGTCCCTTCATTACTCACATAGAAAGCTCCTCTTTACAGTGACCCTCTGTAACTTGATGCAATGTGGGAATACACCTTGCCACATGCAAACTGCTGGATGACATGGAGAAGTTCCATGCTGGCATGGAAATGCTACACAGGACCCAAGAAGAGCCTGCAGGATCAGGCCAACAGCCCATCTCATCCAGCATCTCGTCTAACCGGTTGCCTGTGGGGAACATGCAAGCGGGACACAAGCACAAGAGCACTCTTTCCTCCTGCCACTTCCAGCAACTTGTTGTGTCATTGGGAGTGCCAACAGACACAGGACACAGAAACCCATCACAGGGAAGTGGCAATAAAACCTGATATGCACAGGGAGGGGAAAACTAACACGGGGATGGGAGAACCTGTGGCCTTCCCGCTGCTGTTGGACTGCAACTCCCATCAGTCCAAGCCAGTTTGGCCAGTGGTCAGGGGGGATGGGAGTTGCAGTCCAGCAACACTGAGAGGGCCACCTCCATCTCTGCCGTAGCATACAGATCAGTACACCGGTTCCATTGAAGTCAGCTATCACCCAGTATTTATTAGGCTCAAATCAGCCCTTAGGTAAAGGGTAAAGGAATCCCTGACCATTAGGTCCAGTCGTGACCGACTCTGGGGTTGTGCGCTTATCTCGCTTTACTGGCCAATGGAGCAGGCATACAGCTTCCGGGTCTTGTGGCCAGCATGACTAAGCCGCTTCTGGTGCACGGAAACGCCGTTTACCTTCCCGCTGGAGTGGTACCTATTTCTCTACTTGCACTTTGACGTGCTTTCGAACTGCTAGGTTGGCAGGAGCAGGGACCGAGCAATGGGAGCTCACCCCGTCGTGGGGATTCAAACCGCTGACCTTCTGATCAGCAAGTCCTAGGCTCTGTGGTTTAACCCACAGTGCCACCCGCGTCCCTAAAGCAGCCCTTGGTATGAGACAAATCGGTCAATCCCGCTTTAGAAGAAAACTTGAGAATTCCCTGCATTATCTCATTCTCTCACTTTAAACAATCAGTTGCTTTCTCAGGTTTGTTCTTTCCTATTGGGAATGTGCACTAATGGAAACTGAGATCCTGCATGGGGGAGCTCTTGAATGGGATTCCTGCGCTGTACTTTGAAGGCAACTTGGAAACTCAAACTTTCGGTCATTCACAGCCACTATGTTTCTATATTGGTGCTAAGAGGCTTAGCCTTCAATGCCCTCCGCCTGCAGTGAAGCAAAATATTAGAGCTTTCAGCACTCGGCTTTATCTCCCAGTAGTCTTATCATAAACTATGGAATCGAGATCTGAGTTTCTAGCTTGTGGTTTAATTGCTTATTTAACAGCCTGTGGTTTTTCAGAGATGAAATCTCTAGGAAGGCTTTTCCGATGTTCCGGTAACACCAAGCAATGAAGAGAAAGATATTTGTAACTGCTATTAAACCAGCTTAAGTTAAAAGACTGGCAGCATTTTAGATGACTGTGAACTATTTCAGTTTTGTACACAGAGTCAAAATGGTTATTTAATTGCTTTATGTGGCAAGCATGATTGTTAAACAAGGCTCTAAGTTGTGGTGTTGTTTTGCTGCTGCTGCTGTAATAAATCAGCATCTTGACATGTTTTATGGTCTCCATCAACAAAAACCTTTAAAAACCCTCAACTATTTTAAAATGCATTTTCTTTTTTAAAAATTGAATTCTGAATGAGGTGGATAGATTGCATTCAAGTTCATTGCATAGTTTTGCTCTGATCGCTGCCTTCCGCAACTCCCAGATGGAATAGTTTGGACTGGGATTATCACTAATCTCACAGGAAGTGACTTTATCACTGCCTATGTGAATCAAAGAATAGTTCCTATTCATTAAAGGGAGAAGCACCTTAGTCAACTCCCTGATTACAGTTCCATTGGGAATATGTGAAATCCTCGTATTCCATGCTTCAGTTGTAGGTGTCTTTGTTTTGTTTTTGAAATATTGTCTTTTCTCCCATATAGAAGCAGAGGGAGAAGTTGGACGCAGGGCTCTGCCCTACCGAGGCACCAGCCCTTCTAGGCTCCTCCCTCCCTCAACTGTCGCCTGGCTGTGGCAGAGGGAGAAATTGGAAGCAGGATCAGTCCTTTGGCTCCACTAAGAAACCAGCTGCACTTGGCTCCTCCTATTCCTGAATGGCTTCCTTTCCATTATCAGAACAACAATGTAACTACTAAGTGGTGCCTGAGTTTTCTTGTTTTCCTCTTCCCTCCCCATCCCATTTTTCCTTTTGTGCCTTGTCTTTTAAAGGGCAAAGTCTTGTATGTGGAAGTTATTTTGCTTTTATTGAACTCATGCAAGCTGCTCTGGGAGCCTTTCTAGCTGAAGAGTGGGCTAAAAATGCTTCAGATAAATCAACAAACAAACAATATAATTGTTTTTCCAGAAGGGACAAGTTCTACTCCCACAAGGGCTATTAAAAACATGGAAGAAAAACAACATTTGTAGTAAATTAATTGAAGAGCAGATTAAAAATGCCTCAAATAAACAAACAAACTATGCACACAAACACACACACAGCGCAATGATTTAATGAGGGAAGCTAATCAGGCAGCGAAGGAATTTAAAAATAAAAGATAAGGACCTGATGCCTACCTGGTGCAAGTGCCACCATTGCGGCATGGATGATAGTCACAAACAGGGACATTGCAGTTCTCGATGTTCCTTCCTCCCAAGGCTTCGTCTATGATGAAGAGTTCTTTGTTGTTCACCTGGAACTCCCTAATGCAGCCTCTGAAGCCATAAATCCACCCAGAACTCGGATGAATCTTAATGTGATCTGGGACATTCCCAAGGAATATTGGCCCAAAGGTAACCTGAAAAGGATCACAATAAATAAGCGTATACACACAAAAATAAATCAGCCCTTACTGCAACTGCCTATAGACTCTATTCATGAAGGAAACTGAGGGAGTAGGACACAGAAACGTGGTTCATCTTGTACTCATAAGCGTACAAATGTTTCCTGCTTCATCCATGGGTGTGCCTGGGATTCTAACTTCATGACAGCTTGGTGATCTCCAGATATTGCTGAACTCCATGTCCCATTATGCTTGGCCATGGGGCCATGCTGGCTGTGGCTGATGGGATTTGTAGTCCAACAATACCTGGAGGGCACCGCCATGTTGATTACTGCTGATGTAAGTAATCCAGAGACTGTATGGGTGACATAAGGCTGCTCCAGACAACTACCAGTTCACTAACACAAGTCCCATTGACATAAACTGAAGTTGTACACGAGTATTATCTCTAATTTCTATTGGATGTGCAGCATACCCAAAGGATTGCATGAAACAAGGTTTGCTCCATCTAATAATAAAAAGGGAAGTTAATAAATCATGCTTCCAATGACTTGGGAGATAAATGGAAATAGTTGGGTTATGGTGTGACTTTGGGCTGTGATTTGCAAGTTCACCTGAGTCAACCGATGTGGCAGAAAGAGCCCCCGACGTACAGGAGAATTTTCATCTGCAGTCATTTCAAGCAGGCAATAGCCTTCAGGACTGTCAGAAGGCAACATATAGCTGGAAGGAAGCAGAAGAACTCATTGTTTGGGATGGGAAACAGGAATTGTTATGAAAATGGATTGCTAGTGTGAGAGTTAAATCTGGCCTGGGCCTGGTTCCTATATGTGACAGCCCCCAGATGAACGTATGCGAAAGAGTGCATGGCCGCAGAAGGAAAATGAGTGGACAAACCGCTTGTTTTGAACCAGCACCAACACTTGGGTCCAACACATGTGGCCACCACAACTTGTGGTGGCTACATGTATAGGCCAAGCAGGGAAGTGCTGATTTATAAAGAACCATCAGACTGCAGCAGACAAGGGAAGAGAAATGATGCAGGGTTGCTCCAGCAAGGAGCAACTTTTGGCTCCTCTTCTCCTTGAGCTATTCCACCCCAGCTGGTCATTGCAGCCAAGAACTTTGCCCCCAAGTTTGTTTATTTCCTCATCCCTATGAATTCATTTTCCTTTTGTGTCATGTCCTTTTAGAATGCAAAACTTGAGGACACAGGCTGTCTTTTGTGTGATCTGCAGCTTTTTGGGAGTATTTTTTTTTTTGGCTGAAAAGTTGAATAAGGGAGGGTCGTGACTCAGTGGTAGAGCATCTACTTTGCATGCAGAAGGTTCCATGTTCAATCCCAGGTAGGGCTAAGAGAGATTCCTGCCTGAAACCCTGGAGAGCTGCTGTCAGTCAGTGTAAACAATATTGAGGTAAATGGATCAATAGTCTGACCAATAGTAAGGCACCTCAAAGGTAAAGGGTAAAGGGACCCCTGACTATTAGGTCTAGTCGTGGCCAACTCTGGGGTTGCAGTGCTCGTCTCGCCGAGGGAGCCGGCGTACAGCTTCCAGGTCATGTGGCCAGCATGACTAAGCCGCTTCTGGCGAACCAGAGCAGTGCACGGAAATGCTGTTTACCTTCCCGCTGGAGTGGTACCTATTTATCTACTTGTACTTTGATGTGCTTTTGAACTGCGAGGTTGGCAGGAGCAGGGACTGAGCAATGGGAGCTCAGCCCGTTGTGGGGATTTGAATCACCGATCTTCTGATTGGCAAGTCCTAGGCTCTGTGGTTTAACCCACAGCGCCATCTGCGTCCCTTACTATGTCCCTAAACATTATTTAAATGGATAAATAATAAAGCCAGTACCTCCATTGGTCTCTCTCTCTCTCTCTCTCTCTCTCTCTCTCTCTCACACACACACACACACACACACACACCGAGATTATAAGGGGTGGTATCCATGTGTATGAACTCGGAAAGAGATATATGGAAAGTAGGCATGTTATATAGACTTTCAAAAGCAGACCAAAGTTCTAAGTTCATTTCTTTTTTCTTTTTTAAGGTATTCCTTTTTTATTACTCCCCTAATGCCTATTGTTTGAGAATCTGAAATGTACACAGAAAAAAGAGAGTGAAGGCAGGGGGAAGCTTTTTACATGTGTAAGCACTGTAGATACTGATGAATTCTACTAACTGTGGTTGACATATACTTTCCCTGGTGTAGGTGATTGTTGAACAAGTAACATCAGTGCTGAATGATAGTGAACTCTCTAGACAGATGTTTTCCTTTCTGCTGGTCTACGGGGGAAATAAAAACGCTTTGGAAAACGAAGGGCTGTACCTACGAGCATCAAGATTACACTGCGATAAGAGTTATCACAACTCACAAAGGATGCTATTAATGTATACACTGGTACTGAGTTTTGGAGATAAAGCAGGACACAAGGTTAAGGGAATTTGTAAAATAAATGCAAGGGATGTCAAATAAGCTACTGAGAACTCTTTGGGGCTTTTTTCCAATGTGATCAAATCTGAGGGGAGAACGTCATGTACATTATCAGCAATAAAAAACCCATTCCCAAAGGATAGCTTTCACATAATTGTTTTTAAATTATTATTTTGTGAGGGTGGGGGAAAAAAACCCCCTCTATGAGTGCTAATTATTATTTCAGCGGTTGTCAAATGTGAGAACATAATGGGAAAGCGCTTAATTAAAATGAGCACTCAATTTGGTGAAAGCATCCTTTCTCCCCATGCTTCATTTTGAATTTCCACTTAACATTTGCGCCTGGCAACCTAATGTCAACACTCGCACCCCAATCAAGGCATCCACTGGCGCTGAGAGGCAGGCAGGAATCTGTTGCATGTGCTGGGGGTCCCTGCTCAACCCAGTAAAGAGGGCTAGTCTGTAGGAGAAACAGAAGGCACTGAGCATCCAACTATTACCATGCTGTAATACAGAAAAGCTCCAAAGATAAAGGGAGCCATAATCTTTTTGAACTTCCTGCATTTGGAACAGATGCATCAGTATCCTTGATAGCAAATATCAGTGCTGAATCTTATCTATGGACTTTTGCAGAACGTTCAGGAAGAGGCTGCTCTGCCCGTGGAATAAGTTTCAAGCCAAGAGTGAGGAAAATTCTTTTTGCTGTAGGACCAGTCACCCATGGGAAACATTGGGGGCCCATGGTGGCTTGAGCCATAGGCTAAAGTGGGTGGAGTTTGCAGGATTGCACAGTGAGGGTTGTGACATTAACAAATGAGAGTGCTGGAGGTGAAATAGTTTAACAGGTTACCCAGTCAGAACCCAGGGGGTAGAGTCAGAGGGACTATAAAACCAGCTGTGGGAGGGGCAAAGGGAGGAGTTTGTTGGAAGTTGGGTGGTTGGTTGGAGTGGGAGTGAATTGGAATAGAGTCTGTGGGTAGGTTGAGTTAGTGTAGCAAAATAAGCTGAGTCAGGAACAGTTAGGGGCTAGGCAGACAAGTAAATATCTGAGAGGTGGTTTAGTGAGTAAGAGCAGGTAGTGGAAGTTATAGGTCTGGATAGGCACCCCATGATTGTAATTGACCGATACCGTTTATGAAACCACATGCTTGTTAAACTGCAATAAATAAACAGAAGTTTATGTTCCAATTTAACCCTGACTGGACTCAGTATTGTACCAGGTAGGGCCTGGGTAGTGGCAGTGAGAAATAAAGTGGTGGCACAGGGATCAATAGACGGTGAAACATCCGGGGACCCTGTGTGATTGCCACAAGGGCTTGTTTTTTTTTTTTGAGAAATACAAATGGGGAGAGCATTGTAGCACACATGTCCCACTTGTGGGCTTCCCATGGGCATCTGGTTGACATTTGGGCACCTGAGTCAAACCACACACAACATGGTGGTTCCTTGCCAGGGAAGAAGCAGGGAGTGAAGCTCTACATCAGGAACAAGGCGGAGGAGTGAAGATCTACATGCAGAGTGTTCCTTCTAGCCCGAATCTGCTGCCCCTATGGATCATGCCACCCAAAGCAGTTGCCACATCTTGCCTCATGGGAGGGCTGGCCCTTCTGGTTGACTACTGTGAGAATGGGATACTGAACTAGATAGGCCTTTGTCTTATCCAGTAGTGCTCTTCATATGAGACCAAACCACTGTATCTATGTCTAGGAAGTGCCCTCATTAAAGCAATCTCTCCAGTACTTGATGCTATCAACCACCATGCTAGCACTTAATGGCTCTGGACATCCTTGTCTCCAGGCTTTGGGTGGAATTCAAAGCATCGTTACAGAGATGGCTACGTCAGCACAAAGAATCAAGCTTGCCTGATGGAACCATCTCCCTTCTCCTCCCCTGCTATCTCCAAGTCTGTAGCCCTGTTTTTTCTAGTGAGACTCATTGTCCTGCCTCCTACTAGTGCAACTATGTAGTTTCTTCATTTTCCCATTTTCTACTCGTGAGCTCTCTCTAGAGCCTGACACTTAACTCCTCTGTGGCAGAGGTCATTTCCCTCTCCTTTACACAATGTGAATAACTGGGTGTATCTTTTAGGTGCAACCAGCTATCTTATAAGTGGTAAAAATGGCTGCTGATTGATGGCCATGCTATGGCTGGAATGGATCTAATGGTACTCTTTAAACAGCTCAAGGTTGTCAAGGCCTCAGTTCAGACTGGAGGGCAGGGACACCCAGATCTTGCAAAGCCTGAAGTACGTATATCTGCTGTATAAGGAAGTAAATAATCTCAACCCACAGACTCCCGTAACCCTTGCAGCCTAGATTGTGGTGTCTTGGGGGGAAGGGGGTGAGGTAGCCATTTGAACAATGACTCCACTATGGGGATAATGCCTTCACTGCCACTCCAATTTCAACTCTCCATACTCCTGGGCAGAGTCTACTTTCTTCTACTTAGCTTTCTGTGGCCTCACTTGTTACTTTAACAAATTCAGAGAAGGCAGGGTGGGAGACCATGGGGCAGCAAGGGTAGCACTGTCTTGAGAAGCTGCACAGAATGGTCTTTCTTTTGCTACCACCCACACGAGAAGGCAACACACTAGGCCAAGGTATCCTTAGGCAACTGGTAAGCATGACACAGATTTAATCAAAAATACATGAACCTGTTCTGCAGATCCACCACTTCCTACAGACAGAATCTCTAGAGCAGGCATGTGGCTACTAGCTACACATTTTTATATTTTCTTTGATTAGCAATGTCTATGAATGCAGCCTCTTCCCCCTGCCCTGACTACAGATATATGAAGTTTGGTATAATGGGACTTGTTGCACTTGTACAGAGAAGCTTGCATTTTACAGCATATAAATATTTGCGCATGTGATGCCTGAAACTGATATGGAAACATTTTATTTACAACTTAAAAATTGGGCTGGGTTCCTGCCTATTAACTCAGCAGAGAGACTGACGCATTCTGGCTTTTTTTGTAACCAGAAGCCTAGCAGATCACATCAGAAAGACCAATGATGAATCCAGCGGTGCAGCCTCAAGATGTTTTTAAGCTGTATTTTTCATAATTAACCTCATACCGTATGATACCAACCTGCCCTTATGCTATAAACAGTGATGGCAATGCCTAATCGCCTACCTCGCAGCAAACAATAGCTTTTACCCTGTTGGCTTGTTTTGATGTTTGATGGAAGCATTTCTTCTGTTACTCTGCCACATACCTATGCTAGAAATTTCAACTGTATTTGAAATCCAGCATTCCTCCTTCCCTGTCAAGGTTGCTTTCCGGCCAAAGGAATGCACACGGCAGATAACGAAGTAATGATAGTCAAAGATAACACTTAAAAAGTCATTTATACAGCTCTGGATATTTATGCACACCAATCTAACAGCTAGGCAGCATTCCCAGGTGTGAGCTCTATGGAGCAGTTGCAGCAGCAGGGGACCACTCTCTCTCTGCTATAGTTTATATACCTCCCCCCAATGGGCTGTGTGCATGCAGCTGGAGACTGCACCTGTGCAGAAACATCCTCTGCTCACCCCTTTTCAATTCCCTTCTGGTTCAGGGAGAAAGTAGTGCAGGAGAGGGTGGGGAAGCACCTGGCCCTTCTCTTGCCTGACCTGCCTCTTCATCCTCTTCCTCTGACCCATCCTGTGCTCCAGCCCCCTCCAGCTCTGAAGCTTCCCCTGCCTCTGGTTCCTGCCTCCTGGCTGGTACAGGTCCTCAGAAACTACTGCCCTCCTGTCCTGAGTCAGATTCCAGCCCCCCTTTTCTGGCCTTATCTGCTTAGATGACTTTAAAAGGGAATTAGACAATTTCACTGAGCTGTTCTTCAGCATTGGGTCCTCAAATGTTGCAGGATTACAGCTCCCATCCCATCCCTGGCTATTGGCTAAGCTAGCAGGGGATGATGGGAGTTACAGT